CACACACACACAGCGTTTATATTTGAATCTGGTTACACCCTTCTTATAATTTGCACAACAGTCTATTTGAGTCCCTTATGTCCTTCTTGCTTCTGTAAAATAGCTGCTTTCACTGCAAATAAGGCAGAAGAAGGAAGTTCACCAGGTGTTGCTTTTCAAACAACCAGGTAATAGGCAACACCTGCTGAACCTCCCTCTTCTACTCGACTGAGTTGATTCCTTGGAGGTCTTTAAACAGAGGCTGGATGGCCATCTGTCGGATTCCCAGGTGCTTTGATTGTGTGTTCCTGCATGGCAGAAGGGGGTTGGACTGGATGGCCTTTGGGGGTCTCTTCCAGCTCTAGGAGTCTATGATTCAGCTTTCAGCAATGGAGTGGGCTGAGGGGGAAAGGGAATAGTGGGAGGAGGAGAGAGAAACTGGGACATTTTAAAAACAGCTGAAAATGTGGGATGGCAGAAAATTAATTAGGAATGTCCCAGACAAATCAAGACAGTTGGAGTGTAGAAATGAGCTCCTGAAAGATGGCCACCAAGGATCTGATTAACAATCTCCAAAGAAGAAAAGTCTGCTTACTCTCTGATCATTGAATCATAGAATCCTAGAGTTGGAAGAGACCCCAAGGGCCATCCAGTCCAACCCCATTCTGCCATGCAGGAACTCACAATCAAAGCATTCCTAACAGATGGCCTTCCAGCCTCTGTTTAAAGATCTCCAAAGAAGGAGACTCCACCACTGATGCAGTCTGTTCCACTGGCAAACTCCTCTTAGGTAGTGTCTACACCAGCCCCCAAAAATCTGGGGTGCTTCCGGGAGTATTCTGCTCCAGATCTGCCCCAGATCTACAACGTGAGCATCACAAGGACGGACCAGCATGACAGCGAAGTGAAGCTGCTTTGCTGTCCAGACCTTGGCCCTGATGCCCTGTCCTCCTGGGGACCACTGAAGGATGTCCAGAGGAGAGTGACCCAAATGGGGAAATGTCTGGAAACGGCCAAGCCCTGTGAAGAGTGGCTTATTGCGTTTAGCCTGGAGAACAGATGGTTGAGAGGGGACATGATGGCCACATTTAAATATTTGAAGGGATGTCATACTGAGGAAGGAGCAAGCTTGTTTTCTGCTGTTCCAAAGAATGGGACAGAGAACAATGGATGCAAGCTCCAGGAAAAGAGATTCCATCTCAACATTAGGTATGAAAACTATTCAACAGTGTAACACACTCCCTCTGAGATTTTGGTGGAGTCTCCTTCTTTGGAGGGCTTTAAACAGAGGCTG